CACACACACACACACACACACACACACACACACACACACACACACACGTGTGCTGGTGTCACGCCAGTTACACGCCAGCACGGAACGACATGTGGCCGTATGCGTGGCACTCTCGCCCGTGCCACGAAGGGCGCGCGCGGGCTCGTTCGCGCGTGCATGCGTGACACCCAGTATACGCACGGGGATCCGACGACCGACGACGGGCATTCTTCCACTTTTTTATCGCGGCCGAACGTGCGTGTGATGGTGGCTGCGACGTCGTGAGCTGTGAGGTTCTCTCGGCCTCGGCTGCAGGCACGCGCTACGCGCGCCCGGCGCGCGCGAGCAGGTGAGACGGAAGAGCGAGGCGCGATTGCACGCGCGTGCACTCCTGTGCTCCCCCTCCCCTTCTCTCCTCCTCCGTGGAACGACCCCCGCGGGAGTTATCGTAGCCGGTTCCGTTTTGTGGAGGACGAGGTGGAGGAAATAGTGGAAGAAAACGGGAGCCGGGGTGGCCCCCGAGCGTACTGTTATCACGACAGAAGTCAGTTTTCTCGGGTCTATTGCGTCGAGTATTCTTTGCGCTTGATAATCATGCTTGTTTACAAACATCTCAACAGCATAATGAGTCATTTAGAATTGAATTCGATTCTTTATTCATTTTTATTAGCATTTACATGCCGTGATTCGGGTATCTTATTTTATATCATATTATACATAATAATGAGAATAGTTTAGACTGAGAATAGTTTAGAGAATTTAGATAATTTAGAGAATAAATTATCTAATTTATCAATGTTCACATATGATATTGTAGCACTAATCTAATCTTATAAATTTCATAATTTGACCTTCATAAAGGTAAATATGTAACAACTCAAAGAAAAACTTATTTCTAGACTTACCCGATAGATTGTTCCTTTGCTTCTGAAATAGATCACGCTTGACAATTAAGATCTGTAACAAAAGAAGCGAAAGTTACTTTAGAAAAGACACAAATAGTGTGAAAAGAAAAAATATCGCTTGCACAAAAAGAATACAGAATTAAAAGATTTATCTGTCGTAAAAAAAATGCCGACTTAAAGAGAGTATCGAAAGTGGCACATATTTTTCGCAAAACTATTTATTGAAAACGACTTAACTGGACAAGAATAAAGCAAAATTTTCATAACGTTTTAACCCTTGACTTGGGTCCTTTTCAAGTGGAAAAAAAACATCTATAAATAATTGAGCACGTGACAACAAAAAGATCGCAAACATATGTCTGGTGAGAAACACAGTAAAGTAGTAAAAATATTTTTTTTGCATTGCTACAAAGCCCTTAACCCTAGAGCACCACACTGGGTGTAGCAATTTGTTTTAAAATGCCCGCTGTTTCTATAATATAGTGAAAGTTAGGAAATCGAAATGATAAGATAAATAAGATAACTTTTATTCTCTCTCTACGATTCCCCATGCTGCGCAACCTCATCTGCCGTTTAGTAGACGTATGGCTACACCCATTAGGTAGATGTGCTAAACACAGTGTGATGTTCTAGAGTTAAATCTAAATTCTAGAACATGATAAACCTTCCTTTACTTCGATCAATTTTTATCGTAATAATTAATCACCGAAACTGAAAACTTAAGAAAACTAAGACTGTGTTGCGATATTCACTGCCAGTACTGACAATCTATAGTGTATGTGACGTAAACTATACATTTTCAGGCAGAGACTATCGAAACACAGTTTTGAAAGTTGTGAAGAAATTGCAAAGATAATAAATCAATAAATAAGATGAAAAGGGTACAACAAGATGTTAGTGTCGTAATCTTTAAGTAAAAACTTGACATACATTTCTGGCCTATTATTAGGCCATCCTCAGTGTAATAAATATTAAGCAAATTACATATATAAAAAAATAACCTATTGCGATAACTCCGCTTATAAATTATATAAATTATAAATACTATAAATAGAGTGCGTTATATAATTAAATTTTAAATGTGGAGGAATTAGATTATGTCTAAGACAGGCTTTAATAAGCCTGATGCGTAATCGTGTTCTTGCATGGAGTCTAAAGAATTTAGCGCAATCTTTCATTAAGAAACAAACAAAATGAACGAAATTAAACCTAATAAAATTGAAGAACCGCATATTTACGCCCGCGTATAAATAAATCTGAATAAATATAATATATATAATTTTTCTTATAATAAATATAAATCAACTAAAAAAATCGCAAGGAAGCGCGATTGATTTGGGGATATTCTCGGTAGATTTCTTGATCGTAAAGGAATTGTTTGTTCATTAATGACTTTGTGCCAGTTTTCCTTTTTTTGACCACCTACTTGTGTACCTTTCTACGCGATATAAATATTACTCTTTCGCGCAACCTCGAAGACTCTCCGGACAGCGACGTATCGGCTGCGCAATTTATATCGACCGCTTTTAAAATATTGACAGCCGCGGCGAACTTTTGCAAAAAAGCTCGCCGGCGTATACGCGCGGAACTGTCAATATTGCGAGGGCGGTACATTCAGCAAGCATAAAATAACGAATGTACACGTAGGTATCTGCATCGCGGGATGAAAAGCAAGCGATTCAACGGCGAGGTTCTCCTCCGGCAAGGACGCGATCGAGGAGAACGTTACAAGATAATGCTAATTGTGAGGTCGCCGTACGCGATCGCAAGCGCAGAAATTCGCAATTTCGCAATTCCAAAGAAGAATTGGATTGTGCGTTTTGGACCTTTCGTCCGAATTTTCGAATCGTGCGAAACGCGCTCACGCGACCTCACTCCTTTTACACTCCTCGATCGCGTCTCCCGTTTCTCGTTTATCCCCCTTTCATCCCTCGGGAGACTGGGCGATCTCCCACCCTCTCCTTCACCTCCTTAGGAGAAAAGCGCGCTTTTCACACGCGCCAGCCCCTACCCTTAAAGATCACGGTCGCAGGTTCACCCTGTCTCTCTCTGTCTCTCCCTGAACCTTCCTGCCCCCTGTCCTCTCCCTCGCCGTTCCCTCGCGCTTGCTCTTTCTACGCAATAACGTCTCTTTCACCCTCTCTCTTTCTCTGTCTCCTTTCACCTCTCTCTGCTCGCACTGTCATCCCTCTCCCGTCCTCCCCTCTGTTCCTCACTTCCACTCTCATTTTCTCTCTTTCTCTGTCTTTCTCGATATCTGTCTCTCCCTCTTTCTCCCTTCGTACTCCATCTTCCCAATACTAAAGCACAGGGCACACACACTTTTCGTAGAACGTAACAGTAAGGTTTCGACCAATCGCGTTGCTCGATTCTTACTTTTACGGTTACATACGGCCGAATCGAGCAACGCGATTAGTCGAAACCTTACTGTTACGTTCTACGAAAAGTGTGTGTGCCCTGCTTAACCCGCACGTCCCAGCGACGAGGAGGCGAGCGTTTCGGCGACTCGCGCATCCGGGGTTGCGATTCGAGAGGGTAGCGTGCTGCGATACCTGGTGGGGAAGACGGCGGGTGGTGGGGCTGACCGGGATGCGCCAGGGGTGGGGTGATGTTTGACTACTAGCGAGAGCGGAACTCGGTTGTCACTTAGTATTGGGTTAGGTCAGCCCGGAGTAAGCATCGCTCGTCGATGATCGGTCGGTCGTCCGCGTGATCGTAGCAACACGACTTTGCTCTCTCTCTCTCTCGTTCGTGTAATTATATACATACTTATAGGGTAGTAATCACGACTAAGGTCGCCAGTATACCTTCGCGACACTTGAGCGGTACGTCGAGTCGATGCCATCAGTCGTGATCGGCGTACCGGTGCTACCGGGTGTTCTCTCAGTTTTTCCCCTGGAGTAAGTCACTTGTGTTTGGATCTCATCCCGCTCAGGTTTTGCCGTTTTACCTCCTCTATCACACGGGAAAAACAAGCAAAAACCAGCCAGCGGCGGACACGACGGCGTTTTGTTTCAATCAATCGCGCCATTGACGTGCGGCAGCCTCGCGTCACCCCGTTTCTGCATCTCGCCGCGAGTGATCACGCTGTGTTCAGAAAGAGCGGAAAGACGGAATGTCAAAGTGAGGACAGCTGTCCCTCCCGGATCCCGTAGCATGGCACTGGCTTGTTTGCGCGAAGTGCAGATTTATGCAGGTACTTTTTTTCCCTTTTTTTTTCACAAAAAATAGAAATCTGCGAAGAAAGAGTGCCGAGAGAACCATGAAAATTGCACGTATTCTTTATGCGGAAGGGAAAAACCGACTGTACAGTTTCTGTCGGCAAATTTCAATAAATTTGCTGTTACTCGGCGTAGCGAAAAACATTAAACCCGGTCTCTTCTCTCTCTCTCAGCAAGACATTTAGCAAAATTTAGTTTCTCCCCTTTCAACCGGTTCTTCTGTTACTCTTTAACTTTTGTTGCTCTTTAACATCCTTTGCTTTTAACATGGTCTACCTCTTGCCCGACCAACCTCGGTTGTATTAGATAATTTCCTTTACCGTACTTCGTCTCTGTCGAAATTTAGCAAAAAAAAATGTGTCATATCACGTGGCGTTAGAATGCCGTTACGACCTCGCATTGTTTCTCTCCTCTTTTTTATCCGCATCTAAGAATCTGCCGGATGTTAGCCCCGAATGAAAGTGAAAATGTAGGTGGTGCGTCGGCGCATTAATATATATAGAGACAGCCAAGGTGAGAGGCGGGGGGGGGAGGGGTGGCGGTGGGAGAAGCAGAAGGCGAGAGCGAGAACAATTTCGTAGTTTCTTAAGAGTCGTGCGACTTCTTGGCTTATCGCCAGAATCTAAAAGCATCTTACCGGCGATACGACGCATGTACGTTGTGACACATCGTAAACATCGATAGGCCTCGGAGAACCTAGCTAAATCGCCCGGTGCGCGAGGGGAGGGGGCAAGGATCGTCGGAAAAACGAAAATCCGTTTTGCGAATGACTCGCGACGCGCGATGCGCGACGTCTAAAAATAATCCCCGCGATTGCTTCGGAATGCGCGGCACGCAATTCTTCTCTCTCGCGTTACTCGCGTAACGAGATCTCGTGTGTCTCCCGTAAACGCGCTTTTCTCAAACCGCCGACGTACGACCTTCCCGAGGCCGTTATATGGAGATATCGTCGATGTCTAACGGGAAACTGGAATTTTTGGCAACTTTCTAGCCACTACCCCTTTAGATATCGTCGGAATTTATCAAAGCGTTTCTAGTGTCTTCTAAAATAATATTTTTAGACGAAGAACCCGGAAAAGATTAAGTTTCATGATTTAAAGGAAAATATACTCTTTGCCCTCACCTGAGGACATTGTTGCGGAAAAAGGAAAAGAAGTACCGCCACTCGGAAAAATATTACTGTGTGACGCAGAAACTGCAGGAACACATTTTTTTAAAAGCTTTCAACTGCGTTCAAGGTTGTGCGAAAAAAAAACTGACCATAGGAAAGGATTTTTCCGAGGAAGAACACACAACGTTAATTGCTGTATGTGAAAACTAAAGCCTCGGCGTATTTGCCGATTTTAACTCTCTCTCTCTCTCTCTCTCTCTCTGCAAACATAAGTTTATATTACGTTTCTCCACGTGAAATCAAATAAATACAAATATATAACTTTATTTGAGATGGTCTAGCCTCTAATAGGGTCTCCGAGAGAAAGTACTCGCGAACTACAAAGGTTGCGACCAATTAGGGAGTAGAAGCAAGCGGAGGCGGTACTCCCGGCGTCGCGTTGCCAAGAAACAGCGATCGTAGGCTGTAAGGATCCCGGTCGCCGTTAAGGGAATTTTAGGGTAGCGGGAAGAAAGGGGAGTAAGAGATACCGTACGCACTCTTATTGATTCAACGACGTTGCCTCTCTAAATAGTCCACTAATTAGCCGCGATCGAACCGTGGATCTCTTTCGGTTATTGTTTCCTTAGTTTCTATCTCGTTAAGAACGGGTCGAAAACGCGCTCGAAACACTGCCGATTTTCCGAAACGTTCGTCGAAATGTCCTTCAAATTCGCACCGTTAAATATCCATAGGTCGGATGAGAGAAACCCCCTAAATATTAATTAACAAAAGTGTGTCCAGCGTGACGTCAATTCCTAAGAGCAACTTTTAGAAACGATCTCGCCGCGTAGGTGACTTTCAAAACAAAAAAAAACTTGCAGCAACCCTTGCTCTGATGTTCACTCGATCAACTAATCGCGCACATTTATCAGAGAACAAAACACGTAAACTCGAAGTTGCTAATTTTGGAGACACAAATAATCTACGTCGTAAAGAGTTAAGAGTATCATTCTCATTATACATTCTGTTTGTCATTAGATTATCTCGTAATACTTATACAAGTAATTTAGTTTTTCAATAAAAATCTGTACTGTTACTTAGAGACATAAATCTACGTCATACTGGTTACATATTTCTGTATACGTTTTATCATTTCGAAAAGTATCGTTAGGTATACGTTTTTGTCAACAGATTATCTCGTGATACTTACCCAGGTAGCAGGATGACATCTTGTCTTAATGACGTATTATTAACGTCAGAGACGTCATTAAGACATTATTAACACGTCATTTGACGTCACTCTGCTACCTGGGTTATACAAGTAATTTAGTTTTTCAATCAACTATCAAAATCTACACTGTTTATTGATAAACGATGTCGATTTCAAGGCGACATCGGCATTCTGATAAGCGTATTCGCACGCCGATAAAGTCGTTGGCCCCGAATCGAAGAGGCGATACGTCGTAGACGCGTAGGTGGATAGCCGGAGCCTTATGAATGAACTCTCGCGTAGTCGAGAGTGTGAGTGAATGGAGGAGGATCCAGTAACCTCACGTGCGAGCGACATGTGTGGGAGGGCAAGTCGGGAGTGGGGAGTAGGGAACAGAGAGGAACAGAGAAAAAGAGAGGAAGAAGCGTGCAGGGAGTGTCTAAGAGAGAGAGAGAGAGAGAGAGAGAGAGAGAGAGAGAGAGAGAGAGAATTCGCAGATCGTACACATTCGTGTCTCATCATCTGATATCTATCCCCTCGTTCAAGTGATCGCTAACTTCGCCAGATTGTTCCGAGTAGTGAGATGTCGAGGAATATTTTTGATATTCGCCAAATTAGTACCCCCGTTCGTGTTTATTTACATACATTTCACACGAATGACATGATGTGTTCTTTAGTATAATCCGTATGTTTTACCGGTTAAGTGTGTTTAATATGTTACAATTATATATCCGCAAGAACTAACGATATTTCGTTACATGTGTCAATATATGTTCCTCGTTAAGTCCAGGATTCTTGATTGACCGGCATCTGGGCATGATGCAGGACCCCGAGAACAACACTCAGCTCGACAACGCGCCGCGAAGTATGTTTCCCATATTCGATCCTACGTCAACTGGACTACCGATGACCCAGGAGCAGCTGATTGCTAATCAAGCGAGAATGACGAGGATAGCTCTGATGGCCGCGAGAATTCCTGTGTCGTTACACGCCACTCTCGCGTCTCCGTCGCTCTACCCGCAGGATATCTTCGGGACTTGGCTAACACCGCGAATTGCGTCCTCGCCGCCCTCCCCCCTTCACCAACTGCCAGAAGTATCGCCGGCTCCTAACACGAAGCCCGCGTCTCGGCGCAACAACAATAACAATAACAATCATAACAATAATAACAATAACGACAACAGTGACAACAACAATATGACGGGCAATGACGACGAGAGAATCGTCAGGAGGGGTCGCGCCGCGAAGAGAAAACCCACCAAATCGAAAGCGGAAGCCGCGGCGGAGGGTGCCGACCCGGTCAGTCCTTCCGTCAGTCCCGAAACGGCGAAGGACAGCAAAGATAAGATCTTCACTTGCGGAGTGTGCCACAGATCCTTCGGATATAAGCACGTGCTGCAGAATCACGAACGTACGCATACGGGCGAGAAACCTTTCCAGTGCCAGGAATGCCAGAAAAGGTGAGAATCTCCGCGATCGATCGCACGTTGTCCCATCTCGCGATTTCTCTAACAATAAGTCACGACGGACAAAATTTCCGCGAAACAAATTATTGTCACATGATGTCGATTTAAAGAAAAGAAGCCTTATTAAAATTAAAATCGCGAGTTTAGCCGAACAATCTTTGACCTTTGACCTTTGATTTTGCAGATTTACCCGGGATCATCATTTGAAGACGCACATGCGACTCCATACGGGCGAAAAACCTTACAAATGCAAATTCTGCGATCGAAAGTTCGTTCAGGTGGCGAATCTCCGTCGTCATTTACGCGTACACACGGGCGAGCGTCCGTACGCCTGCGACGTGTGCGCGTCCAAGTTCAGCGATTCGAATCAGCTGAAGGCGCACATGCTGATACACAACAACGAGAAGCCGTTCGAGTGCGAGAGCTGTCAGATGCGTTTCAGAAGGCGGCACCATTTGCAGCAGCATAAATGTGGTAACGGCGCGGCGCACGAGTCGCTACCGGAGGCCGATTCACCCCCGTCGTTGAACAGCGATGAGCTCGACTCAGAGGAGTACGTTGATGTTGACGTCGATGTGGATATCGACGGGGAGCAGGCGCCGGAGGAGGAACCAGAAGGGATTGCGCTCACTAGGAAATACATTATGCCGCCCAAAAGATTGGCTCGTCATCTCCGAATTAACCCCGAATTAAATAGCCCCGTATACCCGAATCCCTCCCCAGTCGTTTTGCCGGTGCAGACGGAACCCGAGGATTTGTCTATGAACAAATCGTCCTCGCGCAGGTCACACTCCGGCGGCAGCAATAATTCGTCGCTGAACGCCGACGTCAGTAACGAGACCAATCTGGAGGAGGACGACGAAGAGGATGAGGCCACCATGTTCCTGAGGCGCCCGCGCGCTCATCGTCAACAAATAGTCACCGACAGCGATCATGCCTCCTAGTGAAGTCTCAGCGGTACGTAGAGAAAATTGCGTAAACAATACCATTACCGTATTATCCTCGACACTATTAGACAATATGGTAAGAGTGTTATTTACACGGGATTCTCTTGTCGGCTCCATCGTCTTGTATGTCTCGCGTGATAGATCTTGATTACGGGTTACGGAAAAGGCGCCGTTACACACGGATCGAGCGCGATCATTCAAAGCGCTCGTGAAAAAGCGCGCCCCGCGAAGTCTCTGTCGTGTACATAGTTTCGCACCGGAGAAGAGTCAGAAACGGCGAAGAGGAAAAGGAGGGAAAAAACGTAATGAGAGGAACTCACGTTTAGTTATTCGTTGTGGTAGCTGTTAATGTCTTTTGTTCGACAACCGTGGCGATGAAAAGCTTGATATAGGTATAGTTAGATAGATAATGGAGAAACGAAGGGAAAGGGCATTGCGCGTCTCCACGTGCGAACGGTACGCGCCTTTCGTCGACGAAAGAAGGAGAATTATAGCTGTTTGGATTGGATATACCGGTATACAAGTTCCTCTGACAGTAAAAAGTAGCGGGGAGGAGTGACGACGGTCCGTCGGTCCACTGTCGCTGTCGCGAGTTTCGCGGTTCCTTCGGCTACGTTTATATCTCGCGTTTGTTCTACGTTGCCCGTTGTTATGTTTTTTTTCCTTTTTCGCTCCGTGATTATCCGGAGATTTGTTAGCCGCGCTATCTCGATCGAACGAACGCTCTTTTAGTTTCGCTGAAATGATTCGACATTCGCGTGCTCGAGACGTTCCAAATACTTACGAGAAACGATCTCGATCCTTTATTTTTGCATTGACAGGCGACTGGTTTATTGCAAAAATCAAGTAACAATAAAAACTTTCAAAATAACCCTCTTGAATTAATAATCAGGAAACACGTACCTTATTATTATTATTTTTTTGTTTTACAAAGTGACGAATATCGTCACTCGCGTCTCTGGTTTAGCAAACTGGAAAATCGTAATCGCTGAGCGACTCAATTTAAAATTCAAACCAACCTCCACCTCTATTACCTCCTCCAGTTTCGCCTTGATCGTAGAGAATGAGGTACGCATAATCGAGATCTGCTTCTCCGATTTCCGCCTCTTATCCTTCGGACGCGCGCACCCGGTCTCGTCATAAATCCTTTCAAAAAGATCTAAGCTTTTTTCTGCCGGACTTTCTCCCCCCCCCCCTCTCTTTTCTGATCACAGCCGGCGCGCGCGTCTTTCGCGCGAACCAGTTTTCGCGATGACACACGGGATCACGAAAAAATTTTGCAGCCGTTAACCGGTCTTCTCCGCTCAGGTTTCCCATCGCGCCCCCATACTTGAGGATTTCTTTAAGTCCCGTGAATGCTCGTTTGATTTATGTAATAGTGGGGGAGATAGATTTTTCATTTTGACCGTCGACTTTTAAGCTACCTAGACACGTATTGTCCGCATGGGTCCGTAACATTTTTAAGATTGAGAAACTGCTCCCATTTTCGTATCCCGTTAGTTTCTTTTGCGACAAAACGTAACGCTTCTGGATGTGGAGATCGCCACATCTCTCTGTCTCGTAGAAAGATAAGACGGAGAAAGAAAGAGAGAAAGAAGATACAAGACGGAAAATAATGCATTTTGCTCGAAGTTCGGGATACTCGGTAGGCCCGAAATTGCCCTCGTTTATCTTTTGCCTGTATTGTGCTACCATTCATTCGCAAAGAATCAAAGACAAACGCAGGTATACGGATTACGTCGTTTTTGCAAGTTTTGTCGGTTGAAAGTTTTTACTTTTTAATATCCACGCAGTTTCTGTAGCGATCACTAAAGGAACTGTTTAAAATCGCGTGAGTAAATCGGTGCTTGATCGAAAGATCAATGCTAAAGCCAAACGTAAATTTGTTTTTATAAAGTATTTAAAAAAATTAAAGTAATAAGATTTTTTACGCGTTACAGATTAACTTTTTCCTCCCCGAATTTCATTTCAAGACATATATTTATTATAGAACCTAGGACTCGTTCTTACATTCTTATTCTTTTTGACTTTTTTCCCTTTTATTTCTTCTTTTTCATCCTTATTTTTAACGTGCTTTAACTTGAACCATTTTATGGGAATTTAACTTAAAGTTCTTTTACGAGGCACAGAAAAGGATAACGCGATTAAAATCAATCATTGCCTGTGTCATTTCGGGCATTCCTTACGCAACCATAAATCTCATTGGCAAGCACCACATGGCGATCTTCTTTCTCTTCCTTGCTATACTTTTACCTATTTTAGAGCACTAAATCTCTCTCGCGCAATTTTCATTCGTTAGGCTCTTCGTTGTTATACTTTTCTTTCCGTTCTTTTCTCTCCCCTACAAGAGTTGCGGAACGTCTCGGGCACAATGTCAGTGAAAGTTTGCAATTTTTCGTTCGATCGAGGCTTGCTTTCTTTTTTTGCATCAAAATCACGTGTTAATATTGTTTTTTTTTTTTTATCATTATATCATATCATTTTTCATTCGTAGACTAGCTTTAGAAAAAGATAACACACCGCTTCTCGTCGATTTGTTCACGTACTTATTTCATTGGTCGCATTCCGCAGGGAGACACAGCAAGTTCTCCTCGGATCTCTCAGAAGGAGAAACACAATAATACCCGATTTCAAAACGCCAAGTAAACGCGCTCACTCGAACGCATCGTTATCTCGACGTAAGTCCGGGATAAACAGTACAGAATTTTGTTGATATCGCTGAGACTCAATCGACGAGGCTCAGCGATCGCCGTAACTCGGATAACAGTCGAATCTCAATAGCTTCTCGGATCTCGCGAAACAATATATTATAAGCATTACCTCTGCTGAATGCGCCCATTACGTCGATACCGTCGGGATATTTTCTGCTACCACATATATATGCGAGGCACGCAGAAGGCGACAGAGGTCAGCAGACCCCGAGATCTCGAGCCCCGAAAGAAAGGCAAATCTCACCCCCCGAAACCCCCGAGTTATATTATTGTACATAGAGGGAACGGCGTCTTAACCCCTCGAATAAAGGACCGTACGAGGAATGAAGTCACAAGTGTAAGCGTCGCCCGACTTTTTTTTCTTTTTTAAGTCTTTCCCCCTTCCCCCCTTTTCTTTCTTCCGAGGAGTGACAGATGAGAACGAGCGGCGGTGCCGTGATAGGAAAGCGCTTAACGAATTTGCTTGTGGTCAGTCCGCAACAATCGCGAAGGCAAAGCGGAAACCGGTCTTCTCGGCCACTCGGGCGACGGGATGACGGAGAGACGACGTATCGGGGCCCCCAGGACTCGCGCGACGGGAGAGGCGCCGCGATTAATCGGACGGCGGCGCCGAGGAAGCGTTTCTCTTGTCAAGAGCGCGCGCTCCGAACAAAAACCTTCCCTCGTCACGCGGCCTAATTACGGATGACGATTACTTCGTCACGACGCGAAGGAACGCCCCTCGGAATAGCGTCTTCAGAATAGCGATCGACACGCAGCTAGTAACTTCGGCCGAGCTCAAATACGAATGTCGCGGGAATACGAAAGCGCGTTTATCCCTATGTCTGCTCGCGTTAACGGAAATAGCGACGATCGGCATAGAGTGTATCTTAATTTGTCTCTTCTCCTTCTCGCGAACATCGAGAATTGAACTCTCGCCGAAATTGTACCGTCTTCAGTCTATGCTTAATATTTTAGAATACGCTCCGGGGGACACATTTCGATTTGCGTTATTCTCTCGATAAGTCGCTCGTTATTCCCGGCTCGTCGTTCACGGCAACGCGGCACGTTCTCCAGTTCACTTGGGGTTGCTTGGCGTTTAGACAAGGTGATACTTCACGCGTCCTCCTCGACGTACACGACGTCGGAGTCCAGCGCGACGGTCGATTCCGGAATCGGCAAATTGGCAAATTTGGTAATTGTCGGTCGGGAAAACCAAAAACCGAATAAACCGGATACCGCGTCCTAGTTTTGTTCCTAACGTTCGACGTCGATTCGTTCGCGTTCCGCGTTTACCGAGTCGAAGAGAATCTTTTCAGGCAAGCATAGGCCGCAAGTTATCCGACTTCCGCTCGGCGTTAACGCGGCGCGCGCTTTGCGCGATGTTGAATGGCAAGAGTACCTTGAGAGATATCGATTCCTAGTTAATGGTTGTTAGTTCCGAACGCTGTTTGCAACTTACGTTCCTGCCGGGGCCTTTTTTGGCCGCCGGCCCGCTATATTTCTTTCGTTTCCTTGTAAGCAGACCCAGAGTCACGAAAAATATCGACGAGGCGAGAAATCACGTTAAGCATCGTGATTAATGAATAAGGTTATCGCTTGTCCTACTGTAATCATTATTGTTGTTGTCCTCTTACTCTTAACGTGCAAAAACTATGTATACATATTATATATATAGTATATATATATATATATAGTATATATATTTGTGTCGAATAGTTGTAATGTATTAATATGATGTGTGCTCGAACTGGGAGTACGTTGTACGGATGGGGATCGAAATGTACGACAAAATATACAAGTAATATTGCATGAGGGATAAAGAGATATATAGGAAATATCTTATTATCAATAAGATATTACTAGATTTATGACAAAAAGTTCATGACAAAAACAGGAATACAAAAGGCAATTTATCTAAAACTAAAAACAAACATATACAAATAAAAGACAAATAAAAGATAAGACGGATGATCGGGGCATACGGAAGCATTTGGATATTTGGATTGCTTGGAAAAATATAAAAAAAAAGTATATATATATAAAACACAGAGAGGAACAATTATATATATATGTATATAAAACGGAGAGGATTATCTGTTCCTTATATATGAATTCTGGCGTATCAATATGTCATGGTGGAAACGTATCTAATTCGGTGATCCTACAAAATGTCTAGCTATTCTACAGAATCGCCGGCTATTATGGTGAATGGAAAAAAAAATTCCAACACCTCTCACGTAATTACGTATGATTTTATAAATTGTCCCTCCCTCTTTCCTTCACTGGTGATATTATAACAATTGTTTAATTTCATCACTGACGATCAGACGACTTTATCTTATAAAATATTGACCGACGGCGATTTTATCCTAATGTAAAATCGCACCAGTGAATATACGTAATTCAAAATTTTTATTACATACGCCAGCATAGCCAATGATTCTATGGAATCACCATGGCGATTTCGTACGAGAGCCAATTGATCACTTCCACCGTAACGGGTACAGATTTTTTCTTTTTTTTACACTTTATTACAAACGTTTACGCTTAAACGAATTAAACTCTGACGTTTATTAATGAACTCTGATATTCGGCTGCTCCCTACATCTCGTTCTCGCGTTTCGCTACGGCTTACAGCTCTTTCCAACTTCATCGTTTTTTGTTTTGAGGATAGGAGAGTGCATGGTGCGCTCGTCGAATTTTGTCGAATATAACGATTTCCAGTTATCCAGCACGAGTCGCTTTTGCGTCGCGAGACGCAAAGCGCTCGTCCGCGTCGTGACTCCAACCGCACTTCGTATCCCCAGTGGCTCGGATAAGAGGATCGTACGATTGTGTATACTTCTTTATATCTATATGTAAACTAAATTTATATCTATATAATTTTATACAGTCAATCGTGACGCGCGCGCGCGCGCGCGAATCCGGGCGCCTGCGGACGCGCGTTCCTGTATGCACGCGCGCGACGCATCCCAGTGCCAACTCTTGACGCGACCGCGCCGGGAAACCGCGCGGCGCGCGACAATAAACTTTCTTGTTCCCTCTACCCCTCCCCTCTTTTCCCACCACTCTTGTCCACCCTCTCGCGTTCCGCAACGGCATCCGTTCGGATCCCCGCGCGCGTTAACGATACACACACGGTACAAATTCAGACCTTATGCCTACGGTAAAAGTGGAAATGGAACACGGTCTCACGAAGTAATAGATAATAGTGATAATCGGTTATATGATGTATGAGCGCGAAATGGCCGCTTGATTGTTCGTCGCGAACGTTACGATTACATATATCGCGAGCAATCATATACTCGCGTTACCGTACACGGTGATCGTTGTCGGCGATCCCCGCGGGCTTTGTGGGGCCCACACGAAGGATCTCCGAGAACGATACCGCAATAATTATAACGTCGCATATTGCTGTTCAATGCTCGATATGCAATGTACAGCGCGAACAGCGGGTCAAGTGACATTGTACGTATACTATGAAACTGACACTACCTCACCATACACCTAATATATCTCAACCACAAGACTGATTTTAAATAATATTCCTATAATAGATAAAAAAAAGAGCAAAGAGAGATAAGAAAAGTGGCGTATTGCGAATCAGAGAGTGAGTGAGTGAGAGAGAGAGTGAGTGTGAGAGAGTGAGAAGAATATCGTTCGTACAAATATGATATAAACTGTTTTGTAAGTAATTCGCGTCTAGGGAATAACGCTAATTGTAATAATTATCATTATTACTACATTGCTGCCAATTTTGAATTCTTATTATGAATAACAGTAAAGCGAGGAAAGGAACCCTTAATATCGTACGTGTTTACTCGTAATTTCGTGCTCCCGATCTTTGCAATCACACGATTCTGTAATCAGTTATGAAATGTTCCATTAAATTGACTGTCTGTCAAACTATTTTTATTATTAAATCTCACTGTTTAATCGTTCTCCAGTCTCAGTTATTTGGCATCCGACCTGACACGATAATCCATATTTCCGTCATGTCGTACCTAATAATATAATGATCTTAATATATAATATAATTTGATAAGATATAATTGCGAAAGACGAATGCGAATTTATCTGAAGAATTTTAAATAGGTATAATTCAATAAATTGTGCGAACTGTACCGCGACAATTATGGTTAACAGTATTAATCGTTAACCGTGTGTCATGAATATTTATGGACGGGATCTTTCAGCGACGAGATTAAACTGAACAAAATTGTAATTGTATTTTAAACCTGACTTTAACACGCGCGATTTTGTTCTACTCCAATTCGATTATATTTAATTTTAGTACCTTCGACCGGGGCGCACAAATCCCCGACGGAAGAAATAATAATAGCCGCGAGAGTTTCCTCGCATTTCGGGGGTTTCATCGGGATTCCTCGGTGTCATCGATAAAACATTATCATCGAGGATCGTTATTTCCCCGAAGAACCGTCGCAACTCTCGGATAAAGTGTCGCGGGCATCACAAAAGCGACACATTTTCACGACTCATCCGAGGTTGCATCATGGATTCGCTCGTTGATTCAGAAAACGGAGCGAAGAGACACCGAGAGAAACAGAAAGCGGCCACCCCGGGGAAGAAGAAAAGGGGGAAATGCATGTTGAAAAACCGTCTCTCTCTCTCTCTCTCTCTCTCTCTCTCTCTCTCTCTCTCTCTCTCTCTCTCTCTCTCTCTCTCTCTCTCTCTCTCTCTCTCTCTCTCTCTCTCTCTCTCTCTCTCTCTCTCTCTCTTTCTCCACCCTCCCCCGGTGCGTTTCCTCCCCGATGGCGGACCGGCGCGACCTGCATTCAGCTGTGCTATTCGGGTTTCCAAAATCTAGGATTCCATACACGCGCGATCAAGCGACGGGCGAAGCTGCAGGCGTTGCTGAAGGGCTGGAGAGAGGGGTGGCGGGCGACCATGGCACAGTGACACATTATGCTGTAATATGGGGGCACGTGGCAGATGCAGCGGATTGAGTCAGACTGAATCGTTCGAATTCATAGGTCAGCAGTCTCTCGAGTCCTGCACGGGTTCTTTATTCCGTTTTCATACTTTTTTTTAATTCTTTTGTCGGAATAGTCTGCGATAATATTTATCGTGATATTCATCATTCGGCCACAAAAGGGGCATAAAATAATTGTTACGTTTAACATTAATGTCTGATATTGCATTAATTAAGTTTAATATTTAATATTTAATGTATACCGTTACTTTTATTGTTTTACAGAAACTTTATGCGTATTACTGTTTCTAAATTATAAAACTTGTTTCCATTGAGGCAATAATCTGTTATCTGACGTGTTATCCTCACGTTTTAAAATGCAAATAATCGTAACTCACGATATGACAACTTTTATTGCTTAGTATGTTAGGGCCTTGGCACATAGAAAAACTTAAGCAGTAAGCAAATTGACCAATAGACTATCTTAAGTTTTCGAGAATTGTTGACTGTGAATGGTCAATTTGCATACTGCTTAAGTCTTACTGCTTAAGTTTTTCTACGTACCATGACCCTTATAAAAACCATTACTTTTTAACTCTAACAGGAAGAATGAGCGGGAGGTAAGTAATAGGCACTGAATTCAGAGCGGAGAACTAAGGGGGAACCGTCGCCTCTCGTTGCACAACGGTGCAGGCGTATAAGTTTACTCCCGCGGCATTGGCCCCATTGTCAAAAACTGTGCCAACACGTCAAGGAAGTCTGGCAGCACGCGACAAAGCGGACGCGCGCGTTTCTTACGCGCGGCATTGAGTGCTGTTTTGGGGTCAGGATCCGGAAAAACGCGCCCGGGATAACCCCGGGGATCTGTACGTCGCTACCTGAAGTACCGCTACAAATAGGTAAACATTCACAAATTCGATTGCGATCGTCTCCCCGCGTGTAATGGCGCGTCTAATTCCAATGCAATTTATTTCTCTATTTATATACTCTCTACGAGACTATATGTAAACTTACGAAATGGTGCTCGGGCGCGTATTTAATTTACCTTCGTTATTTTTCGCAAGATCCCCGGTCAATTTGTATATTTTACTTCATCAGTTCTAACGCTAATTTGGCAGATCTCGATGCACATCAATGGCAATGATCGCTGTCTTTCTGATGCAAGATATCGCGCGTGTTTGATATTATGTTGTTTTTTCACATCACATAATATTATCAATCTGCACAAATTTTCGTCGTCCATGCACAGCGTCCATCGTTGGGCGTTTCGCGCGAGATATCATCGATCTCAGGACTCTATCCTTTTGAACTGCCATGAAAGGGCAGCCACGACTACGCGACGTGACGACAACTTTCTCGTAATGCATCGCAACAAGCGCATCGTAAACTTCTTTTCTCTCTCACTCGCGAGATCGTCCTGAGATCCCGAGCGAAGACGTAGTGGAAGAATAATGGCGTCGTGTGCCACGCCACGCGTCCCTAAAAGCAAGAGGGATGCAGGGCGGACGGGAGGGAGGGAGCGCTGGGCTCGTTCCCCCTTTTTCCGCTTTTACCTCGGCGTTCCTTGTTTTTTTTGTCTTTTCGATGGAAAAAAGCTCCTTTATGAAGGCAAAGCGCGCGTGCTCTGCCGCGAAGGAAGAGAAGGATGAAAGGGATCCCGGAGGCTGCCAACCACCCCGGAGGCCTTAGGTGGCTCCTGTCGGTTGACAATGCGCCAATCCGACGGTGCGTTCCAAGAAACACGATACCATTTACCCAGCGAAACCCAAAATTACGTGAAATCCCGGGGTGCGTGGCGCGTCCTCGCCGTATGTACGGGGTGACCCACCTGGGGGTGGGCTGGTCGCCTATTTCAGCAAGGAACGTATACATATACGCTCGTGCTACGAGCACGTAAAATTGTTGCTATTATTGCTATCGTATAAGTTATTAAACTCCACAGGAAACAGACTTTGATCGGACAATATTATCGATGATATGCGATAGAATATTCAAATTACGAGGTCAGCAAAAAATAATATAAGTATGTCGGTCGATTCTTTGGAAGACGACGCCGTTATATGCTCCGTTTTTTTCCACATCCCTTAAAACACCGCGCAGCAGTCTATATTTAAATGGTTTACCGTTTTACGGAAACTATTCTTGACATATGTCGAAACGAGGAAAAAGTCGTCACAACCCTCTTCCAATAATGCCGCCGCGGAGAGACGTAGTACTACGACCTATCTCGCTCGAAGCATGCGAGATATGTAACCTCCAGCTTCTTATCTCCCTTCCCGTCTCTCCCGATTAGAACAGGTATCTGTCCTAGCGGCTCAGGTATTTGCGGAAGTGTCTCTCTCCTCGGCCGGAGAAGCGCATCTTCTCGACTTGACCGACCGCACGGCGCCCTGCGTATAATATATTTCCAAAACTTGTTTTCCACAGATCGGGAAAAGAAGAGGAAGAAAAAGAGGATAGACAATAAGCTCTCCCGTGTGGCCAGTTCTCGAGTCCTAATTATACAGCACACGCCAAATAAATGGGCCTTCGGTTCCCCGAAGCACCGTTGGCTCTCGGGGCACGACTGCTCGATCCTCGCGGCGCGGCGGCGTGGCGCGGCGTGGCGTCCGTCCGACTAAGCCGCCATATGGCGAATCCTTTTGCCACTGCTTAAAATCGCTAGGCATCAAACCTGATGTCCATCGAAAAATTTTTCGTCGCGGATGGACAGGTGCCTTCGACAACGAAAGCGGCGGCCATTCGAAAAAGCAGCCCTTTATTACGTATTTATGTTCTCAAAAAAAAAAAGAAGAAAAAGAGTTTCGCTCGGTTGCTTTTTTTTTACGATAATTGATAAATCCTAGGTCGCGTTACTTGAACGATTGTGCTGGCCTAACGAAGGCTTCGACCGATGCATTCGCTCGATAGATATATCTGCCAATAATCGCGGTGAACATTTGCCAGATATAACGTGAACTAGAAATGTACTTTATCGTATGCACGAGCGCTACATATATTAATATAGCAATCGATAATATCGATGCAACGTGAGACGTGATCGTCGCTGCGGGATACTTCGTCCGAGACAATCCGACTTTTCACCTGCTTTCCTATTTCTACGTCAGCGCGTCATTTTATCGGGCCATCTTATATCGCTAATGCCCAGCGAAACTCACCTCCCGTGACAGGTGCCACGGGATAGTTAGTAGCCCTTCGAGATCTACCGAAACCGTAGCGCGGAACACTAAATGAATTCGTTCGAAAGTGGCCGGCCATAAAGTGGTCGGGTCGAATATATCCCGAGGAGAGTTCTCTAAAGGGAGCTAATAATATACGAAATAAACGCTTCCCCAGAATGCGTTGGCATCTCGGCTGTTGCGGCTGCTCGCGCTGTCGATGCGTTTTCTTCGGACATGGATACTGCAAACAATACACTCGATACAATTCACGTAGTTTTAAAGTTTCGATAAGAGTGTTATCGCTTAAACGTCAACTACAATACCATGAGATTGCGATAAACGTGAACATTGTATTTCTATCTCAAAGTGGAAATATTTGTGTTCAGCCCATTTTTATACCTGCCGCGTGCGATACTACATTGATAGACAAGAAAATTAATACGACGAAGCATAAAAAGTGACTATAGTTACAAGGTACAGACTTCTGATATACACCCTGCATATTACCTCTCCACCGGCGCGTATTACCTCGCGTTTCAATATATACTCTCCATATAAATTTTCCATTGTAGAAAGTCTATAATTTTAAAGGGCAATGGCGATCATCTCAGACTGGCCGTCTTCAATCGATTGACTTCTCCCGTATAATCGTTTAGAGAAATCATCGTGATTTTTAGGATATCGGTAACAGCGATTTAAGCCATCCGAGAACAACCAATCATTAATGCAGGGAGGTACAACGAGTTAGCGAAGCGTGTCACGTAGCCGCGAAAAGTGGTGGCGGCTGCCGTGCGTTAGACGTAAAAGTAAGCCCTGCCGTCGTAAAGAG